GAGGCCTCTTGACTTTCACTAGAGAACTGCAGTACAAGCACAAATGACTTAGAAGAAGCATGGATATAAACTTACAGAGATAGTATCAACAGTAGTTAATTGTCCAATACATCTATTCAAGCTTACACCTCATGAGTGCGTTGCTTATATTTGCCTCAGTTCACTGCAAATCTCCCTTTCATTACTGTTCACAACCCACAAATGTTACTTTTTTTTATATATTCTAGAGACATACATATTTACACTTGGAAAGACAATTAAATACACCAAATGTCTAATGAGCAGTTCCCTTCTTAACATATTCAAGGGCCAATATTTTAGTGTTGTAATGAAATAAAACCTTTTCATCAACAGAATTATGCTAGCATACTTTGATCATCACTTATATCTATTTTCAGCATGTATTTGTTGATTGCTCTACAGCTCATTAAAATAAAGAGTCTTTGGGAAAGCGTTTTTGTGCTCCAATGATGATAATTAAAAAAATAGTATTCATGCTGCTTAGATTATGTGAAGTGTGCTTAGATACTTTTTTAGAATCTAAAGGCTATGACATGTACCTGTTGTCTTTGTTAAGTACGTATAATTGAGGGGAAATTGACTAGCAAATACAAAGAAAATTGAAAAATGATTCAAACTAGAACTGAAAAATTATTAACAACCATTAGAAACAGGCATGGTTGTTAATCTAAGACACTTTGAATTATGGAAAAAGAGGAAATAAATAGAACTCATGTACAGAGGACATTAGGAGTGAACTTGTATAATAATAAGATAAATTATATGTACCATATTTTATAACTCTGCTCTTTGCAGCACATTTTACCTTGATATATCTACTTATTTCTCTTTTGGTGATATTAATAGAATTGTTGGCCATTCAAGTTATCAATAATTTAGTAATGAAAATTAAATGAAGCAATAGTAAACATAAGGATGTTTGCACTAAAATGCAGCAAAATTTGTTACAGTCTACTGCATATGCAAGTTTTGTCTTATTCTCCCAAATTTAATAATTTTCTAAATCATCTAGTTTCTACTCGCTATTCATTTTCACTTTTAGTGAGGAAAGACTTTTTCTTTCAAGTAACTGAGTAAAGAAGTCAAGTTAAAAACACTAACAGCTTGCCTGTATATGAAGATTGCATGGACTTGTATGGAGATTGCAGTGATTTCTTGTTTCATGTTTATGTCAGTGATAAAGACCATAGAGACAGAAGAATTTATAATCATTCCATCAGGTGTGTCAGAGACGTCCCTGTGCTCTGAGTACAGAAAACAAAAGCATATTCCTAAAGTTCAGAAGTGATCAGGAACTCCACGTTCTCCTCCACTTCTGCAGGTACCTGATGATAACTTTTTTCAGAACCCATGGTTCAAGGCACTGATGCTGCTTTTTCTCTAAACTCTTTCACAAAGCCTTCAGTGACTAATCAAGTTTGGAGTTGCTGAGGTTATGCTGATAACATCACACAGTACATTTCCATTTCCAAGCTGGACAGTCTTAATTTTTAGAATCAACTTTGGAACCAAGTATTTTCCAGTTAATGTACAAGCTACTTTCCAGAAACAATTGTTATTATGCATTTTAAAATTCTCATTTCTCAGATTCTCCTTCTTAGTAAACTCGGTTACCAAGAGCAAAAATAGATGGGCCTTGAACACACTAAAATCTAGTTTGCTCACTGAAGAGCAGGGGCACTCAAGCAGATGAAGAGCCTATCTGGTTCATTCTCTTATTTCCAGCAGTGGCCAGTAGATGTG